TTACAGCTTTCAAATGAGGGTACCTAGCTTGTTTGATAAATCCATTTTGCTTGAGATGCAACGTGTAGTAATTTTCTGACATAATTTTGTGGCTTCATTTTTCCAACTTTGTGAAAATATTTTTAAAAAAATATTTTGTTGCTAAAATTGTATTTATTCAAATAATGAAAGAGACAAATATGAGCGATATTGGTCAAGAAATGCATTTATGGCAAGACCGAATGGCACATGCAACAAACATTATGGGACATCCTGTAAATGATGAAGTTTTGTAAATCTACTTAAAAAAAATGAAATTTGTGCGTTTCACTTCAGATAGGTGGGTCATAATCTTGTATTTGAAAATTAATATAATTTTTATAAATTCAAGATGAAAAAGTTGAAAAATAATACTATCAAAATGATTAAATTTTGTCAGTATATGATCAATATATGTAGAATTATTTATATTGAATGCAATTATTTTGGTATGAAGAGCTGTTGTAACATGTCCCTTATTTTCTTTCAACGTTAAGATTTGTTTTTCGGGAAAATGCATATGAATAAAAAAAATACTGTTGCCACTCATTTTGTCAAGTTTTTATGAATGGAACAATAGGTTAAGAAAATAATCAGTCATCGACCTTAAAAATTGATAAACAATACAAATATGTGGAAAAAAGAAGTAAAATCACGGACCCCTGAAATTTCAGAGGTAATCAGATGACGAGGAGAAAAATGCATCTTCTTTGTGTAGTCATAATTAATGCCATGGATGTTACATAAAGGCAGAGGTTTTTCACCGGATTGATAATTCCAGTTAAGGGAGAGAGGGGCTTATTTTGTACAGGTGTGAATGCCTTGAGAGCTAGTAGTTTATTGTGACCGTTTGTCTCTCAAGTTCTATATATGCTGGAAGTAAGTTAAAGGTACTTGGACACAAATTAGATGTTAATGTTTTCTGTATATTATCACGAATTATATATTTTAATAGCATTTCAGACAAAAATTAATGAAAAATCTTATTTTATTTTAAAGTTATTAAAATTTCATTTTTTGCCGGGTTTGATTGACACATCATTGCACTTTCACAAATTTTAACTTATTCTTAATCCTTCGGACAAGTGGCGATCTTGTTGTGTATTAATGAGAAATATTAAAACATTTTTTTCCAGAAAAATAATTCTATTTAGAATAGAAATCATAGAAAGCAAAACCCCTTCACAAGTATCGTCATTCCGAGCGAAGTGTTTTGTATAGAGTTTAGCAAATCGATCACAATCGTGTTATGTACACATTTGTTGTAAACTGGACACGAACTCTGTTATTGTTGATGTTTACGATTCACCGGGTGCGTTCAATCACCAAAGTCTGCTCACCACAACTGCACGGATTGACAATATATTTTTGTTTTTTTTCTTTTTTTTTTTTTTTTTTTTTTTTTTTTTTTTTTTGTTTTTTTTTTTTTTTTTTTTTTTGCTTTCGAACATGTCTACTCTAAATTTTCTGGATTACAGTATAAATATTTTTCATTTATACACAACAAGATTGCCACTTTTCCTAAGTATTAAGAAGAAAATTAAAATTTGTGAAAGTGCAAGGATGTGTCAATCAAACCCGAAAAAGTTCAAGTTTTATTAACTTTTAAATGAAATAAGATTTTTAATTAATTTTTGTGTAATTTTTTTGTTTAAAATATATAAGTCGTCATATTATAGGGAAAATATTAACTTCAAATATGCATGTGTCCAAGTACCTTTAATGCACATTGAAATAACCAAAAAAGAAACTACCTGTAATAGGGATTTTTAGACAATTTAAAATTAGAAGTTAAAAGTTGTAATTTCAGTATAACCCCAAGAATTTACATGTATATTGATTTCAATGATTTGCGTTTGAATTATTGTGAGAGGTCCCCACCGTTTAAAAGGAAAATTAGTTCAAATACAAGTATATAAAAAATCATGAAGATATAGTTTTACATGTAGTTGTACATGTAACTCTCTTTCTGTGTTTAATAAATGCAAAATACATGTACATCAGAAATAACCAAATCAGACCTTATTCATTCTTCCTCAGGATTATCCTAATCTAAATAAGGCTTTGTTACCATAATTTATCTGAATAACAGTGATACTATTTCTGATACATGTACTATTACAGTTCCTCTAAACCACTTGCAGTAAATGTCACAGGATCAAAAATTAGTTTGAAGGTCACAATAAGTGTCAAACAAGTATAACAGGGTACAAATAGGGACTAGGAAGTAAATGTCAATCAAGTTCTAGCATACATGTACAATGATGGACCTTCATGTAACTTGATTGACACAGACCATGTGTTATCCAAGGCTGTGTTTTAAGTAGTTTAAGAAATTTATAATATGCAACATTTTCTCTTTCCATGAAAAATATCTTTTCATTAAGATTTCATTAGGTTCTGATGCTGAGGTTGTTTATCTTTTACCAACACATTGAGGTGTTTAAGCTTCCTTTTTTAGAGTCTGCTCTGATCATATGACGGTAATTCTGTATCTTAGTTTCTGCACCCGTTTAGTATTCATGAAATATAGAGGAAACGAACAGCATACAAGATCTTAGTTTTAAACAACTCAAATCAGAAAAAGGGCAAACACCGACCTCTTTGATTTTAAAGGTTGGATTAGGTGTCAAATGGAGATACAAGTATTCCCTGCTTACCGGGCACACTCGCCAAATATCCCTAGCTCTTATAAAAGGGATTTTTAAAAAGAAATATCCGCAGGCAATTCCGTGTGTAAATAGAGGTCATATAATTAGTGTAAAAAAACATCAGTCAACATTGGACTTAACGATTGATTGTATTTGCTGAAAAATGTCATTCTATGGAACACATAACTTGCAAAATGAAGGCTTTGAAGGAGGTCGTTGGTAGTTTTGTGTTATACATATTTTACGCCTTTCCAGAAATAGCAATTATATTATGCGCATGCTCATGCAACTTGAATAAGCTGAGAGGCATAAAACCTGTAATTGTGCAGGTGATAGGGTGATATGCAGCATATTAAGTAGAAAATTCCACTAATTGAAAAAAGTTCGAGACATTTCGCATATCTATTAAAGCAATAATACGAACTGTACGTATAAACTAAATCCAACTCATACATTTAGTTATTTATTGAATTATATAAGTACATGTATATACAAATATTAATGAGACAGTAAAATACAGTGTCACGTGTTTATTTCGGAGGTCCACTTCCCGAAAAAAATAGTCCAATTAATAGAATCATCCGGATACATGATTCACTTTAAAATAGCAATAACAAATACGTTTGGTTAGATACATTTGGTACAAAATTACATTTGTGTAATATTGTTTTCAAATAAAATACATTACAACACAATGATTACTTATAATCTAAAAATGCGTGACGTTGAACTTTATGCAAGGTTAGGAATATATATTTTTCTATCCTTAAAGTCTTAGAACTAATGCTGCGGTGAAAAAAAAATGCATACCTTGAACACTCTTACTCAGAGACATTTTTTTCGTGAAAATACGAAGGTTGTTAGAAAAGTTCGCGGACACAATGAATTACGGAAAATCTGTTGTGTACTGTGAAGTATGACCTATGTCTGAATTTATTCCTACATTTTGATTATTAGTATGTCAAAAATCAGGTCTATTTACTAAAATCTTGAAAATTTACAACGATTTTTACTATGAGGTAATGGGATTTACGGAGCAATCACTTGACGTAAGGCGACATGACAACCAGATTTCAACCCATTAAACTTTGTCGCAGTTCTATAAATCTCCCATTTCTTCAGATTTTTCTTGTCTTTTTTTTTTCTTCTTTAAAATTGAACATCTATATCAAGATATGCTACTTTTTAACTATAATGTCTTCTTTACTTATTCAGATTGTACTGATTCGGATATTATTGAGATCTTCAAAAAAAGTAATTAATCGATCAGGTATGGAAACTATGCAAAACCGTATAGACACAACGACAATGCGATAAGGGGGTATTGGAGTATCGATGGAGTTAATCATTCAAAATGTTACTCCTTCCATTCATATAAAGCTTCAACCTTTAGAAAACTGTCCTTTGTATGTGTAAGAATTCCCGGCAGCATCTTGAACGTTTCAATCTCTTTTCAGACATTTTACTGTCTGCACACATAATTTTACGTAGTGCAGTGCTCCATGACGCTCAGTGACGTTCCGATTTTTGGCTGTGTTTTTACGAGTTGATCATTTTTAAATGGCTATAAAACAGTCATATACCATCCAACTTAATTCAAAATTTCTCCCAGTGACGTTTCATGAATACTTTTGCGACAGGTAAAATATTATAAATCTCTTTGCGCTAAAATTGTGCAATTTTTAATTTTTATAAAGAGTCTTCGTGATGTAAATGTGCCAAAATGTAACATGCTCCGTCAAGCAAGTTTTATCAAAATTAAAAAGCTGTATATTTTTCAATGATCACTTGAGAGCACCAATTTTTTGTATATTTATTGGAAAATAGGTTAAGATTTTATCTGGAAAGTTTGACTGGTTTCGTGGAAATAGCGCGCTCACAATAGAACTTGTCCGCGAACTTTCCTAACACCCCTCGTATATAACGAAGTATTGATCGAAGAGTCAATTCCGTAACACAGGACTCGGAAAAATTTTTATTAAAATTCTTTATCTTCTCAGCAGCTTGCACACTTTAAACTTAAACCGTCGATCCCTTTAATGAGAAAAAAAAAAGCTCAATGAAAACGAAAAAAATATGAATGATACAATATCGATATAATTACAATAGATGTAATTAAAACCTGTAACTTAACAAACAACATATAAAAAAGAAGATTGGTAAAACAAGCGTGCATATTGTCTTTAGCTTTAAATTTATAAAAATTAGGTAGCTGTAAGAGTTGATTATATTTATGAACCAAAGCTCTATTTATTGAATTTATGAAACTATTATAAGCACTTTTTTTCTGAGAAAAACGTTCTCCGGAAAAAATAGGCTTTAATCAAAATAATGATAATTATAATTAAATATTAGTAAGACTTAAATACTAGAGAAAATCCTGAAGATCATTTGACTTTGAGATTCTTGATTTGGAGACAAACACACTTAGCATTATGCTACACGTTTTTTGGTGAAGTGCAACATTTTGGAAGGAAAACTTTAGCATAATTTTTATTTCATAAATCTTTGAGACATCCCCATTACGAGGGCTATACAATACGTAATATCCTCGGTGTTAAGAAAGAAATTAAAAACGCTTTTCAATGATTTAGCCCTAATGATTTCACTTAAATATTCCCTTTAGATTAAAAGCAATGTCAGGAACATTTTTGTCGAATTTCTGATTGTTTTAAGAACACAACTTTTAGTATGGCCCTTCGTATACGGGAATATGGAAGATTCTGTGATTTCCTTGACTTGTTTCTTCTTTCTGAATTTTTTTTTCAAGTTTGGAAGATGAAACAAGTCAAAGGTTGAAAGATCTGGCGAATATTGTTGGTGTGACAAAACATAAACTCTCTCTTTATCCCCAAAACTACTTTTCTCTTTATGGAGTGTTGGTTTGGATTCCTGATTCTGGTTCCATCCTCTCATAAACATTTCATTTTTTTTTTTTTGCAAAAATTTGCTTTCTATACTGCTCCAGAAATTTTACTACTTCCCCGAATAAGAAATAGAACAACTAGTTTCTAATATTTAAGAAAATGGCACATAAAAATGTTTTCGTGCTTTTGCAATTCTTTGCTCTACTCAGACCTTGGCTGTATCATCAAGTCAATCAAACATCAGTAATAATTTGTTATATTTTGGCAAACAGTAAACTGTTTGTCGTAAGTCTTTGTCGCCAACGTCAGTACCTATTTTTGATGCCCATTATATCAATTTTGTTAATTGAAATCCGCATGCTCATGTGTCTATAAAACAGACATTGGTTGCTCTTGATTACACATATTTCAGTGAATACTCTTGTTTACTAATTCTTTACCCTTCATTTTTAATGCAGTGTCTCCAAAAGCCCTTGTTTTCAAGCTTAATTCTCACAATGAAACTATGTTATGAAAAGTGGTCACAGAAACTGTAATCAATTCAATAAAGATACAATTTAATTATGAGAGAAAATCAAGCATTTAAATGTCATATAAGTTCTATATTGTATGTCAAACAGTTCGGGACATTATTTATTGAACAGCCTTCGTATTTCATGGTCTCAGCATTGAAAGGTCGATATTATCAAAAAAGTTCTTTTAAAATAATAAATAGCTTACATGTATATTGGTCTTTTAATGCTGAATGTATAGTTAAAAAGTATGGTGTTTGGATAGGGTCATTTGCAAAAGCTCAACAGAGTGTTGTTTGAAAGCATGTTTAAACAACCAATAGAAATGTGTTGTGAGTAAGCGTGATTGCATTTTTCTGAAGGTGTTGTTAAGCTTTTGCGAATGGCCCTATCCGAACACCATAACAAAAGGATATCTTAAAGAACTATGATACAAAGTTTTGAAATGGCAATCCTCCTTAGATCATGTTTGTGGTAGGACTGTTCTTTAAAATGACTTAAGTTTTTTTCCTTCCATGCAAATAATATCAATCTTTGAATTTTTCAAATTGTAGAGATTTTATTTAAAGTATATCTTGATATTAGATGAAATTTTAAAGATATAAATATATTTATAATTGAGATTTTATTTATCATCTTGTGTTTTGTTGCATGTAGGCAATTCGCAGCCTGCATTATTCATACATTTCCTTTAATTGTATATAATTTTATACGTATATCTATTATCAAATGCATGTTTTCCGTTCAATTACATTTATCTCATGTATGATGCTTTTAAGATCAAATTGCGTTGGGTATTAAGAATTCATTTGAATTAAGTTTAAACCTCATTATTATTTAGGAAAATGGGAGTATATATGGGCGTTTTGTCAATGAAGCATATGAAGTTAGCGAATAGTATTCTATTTCAAAGTCCATAAACAATACAAAATAGGAGCAAAGCAAACACAGACCTCCGAAACATCAGAGGTGGGATCAGGTGTGAGCATCCCCTGCTGACCGTTCACACCTGCCGTGTGCTCCTTGTCATGATCAGGAAATAACGGAAAAACGGTCAATTCATTGTAAAAATAATGGACTAACAATTAGTATGAAAAAACGTCAGTCAGCAGTTGACTCAATGATAAATTGTATTTGCTGAAAAGGTCTCGACAATAGAACTTACGATGTTCTTGTTTCATCAACTTATTGTCAATAATTTACCTCGTTTTAGAAATTGTTCATACGTAGAGCATGTTAATGCGTATCGAATCAACTGAGATATATATACTCCATACGCAGGTGATGACGGTATATTGCCGCATAAGTATAAGGGAAGTTGACGATAGAAAAGTTAAAGTCATCACCTTTATCATGAAGCTTGGTTGTTAGATTTCCATTATCGTCTTTTTCAAGTAAAATATCTAAGTATGATGCAGATGTGTCAGACTCTGTGGTATCTTTTATCTCAAGCTCACCAGGGTATATCGTATTGACGTAGGAATGGAAATTACCATTATTTATTAACAATACGTCGTCGATTTATCTAAATGTTGAGTTGAAGGCCACAGCAAGTGTTTTCTTCTTTTCACGCATAAGATTTTGCACAAATTCTGCTTCATATGAATATAGAAATAGGTATGCTAATAAGGGAGTGCAATTGGTACCCAAGAGAATTCCATAGAGTGTTGAAATACCTGGTCTCCAAAAACCACATAGACATTGTCAATCAGAAACTCAGCTCTTTGATGTCAACTTCAGAGTACTTGTGTGTGCAATCAGAATGTGTTTTAACAAAATAATTTTGCAAATGACCAATGACAAGGTAAGTAAATTTACGAGTTCCATTTTTATTGAAAAAGCAGCTGTCCTTGATATCAAAAAGCCTGGACTTTATTTTATAGTGGGGAATGGTTGTGAATAAAGTTGAAAAGTGGTAAGTTTTTAAGCTGTCGATTTTGGTAAAATCTTGTGATTTTAAATTGTCCAAAAGTTCTTTGGGATTTTTGAGTATCCACATCTGATTCACAACACTTCTTGAATATATTGTTGCACTGTACTCTTGAAGTTTTTCCTTCGCTACAGTCAATATCTATGTGAGGAGTAATAAAAAGAGGCTTGGTTGAATATCTACTGGAACCCGCAATGTATATTTGTTTCTAAGGATTTTTATGAATTTTCGTCCAATATATATATATATATATATATATATATATATATATATATATATATATATATATATATATATATATATATATATATATATATATATATATATATATATATATATATATATATATATAAGGTAGTTCAATTTCATTTTGGCTCTGGGGAATATTAAAAATATTTAAAACTGACATATGATTTTCAAGAATTCTTTCCTTAAAAAGGGAAGTATGAGTATAAGTAGGATTACCACTTGTAGAATTAAACCCAAGTTCTTCTAAAATGCAATTTATATAATGAACCTTTAAAACAAAGACAAAGTTGTTACCTGCATTCTCGGCAGGGACCAGTTTATACTGATCATGTAATCTATCTAATTCTTTTTTAACTTTTTAACTATTGAACACAGGATATATGGTTTTAATATTGACCTTCGTTCTATTTCTTTGAGACCTTAAGGGGCAATATCCCTCTGCTCCAAATTTCAAGACTTTTTTCTTAAAATCCAGACACTGATTTTCAGCAACAACTAGAGCATTAAATTCAAATGGAAAATAGTTTGAAGTATGAAGCGTTGCTTACTTTTTCAGAAATGAATAATATGTCAAATCATGATGTGAAGAAAATTTGATATGTTAATAGAAAGATTAAATATTTTTTATCTCACAATTAAATTAGAAATATGAGGTATATATAAAAATAATATTTACTATCATACCTATCTAATTCCCATTAGAATACATACTGAAGCGCTGCTTTTTAAATCAGAATAACAAAGTGTTTTCTGTGCATGTAAAATAACACGCATCCATAAACAAGAGTTATCGTTCCATTATAGCCCTTGAAAATATTTTTAATGAAACAAAATAATAATTAAATGTTTATAAACAATACTGCATCTGAAATTTCTGTACAATTAAAAGAATTATATACTTTAAGAGATAGAGATTTCTCAATTTATACTGTTTAAAGGAACTGAGCATAACTGTTTTAAGTAAACTATCATGAATAATTAATAAATATACTAAGCAATAGAAACTAGAAATCAACATTTGTACAATAGAATAGGTTTGACTGAGTTGACTTTAAAATGGTCCTTATGATTGAAATTTGTAAACTCTGACATGACAATTCACTGAATTTCATGACAAAATGTCTGAAGAATTATCTCTCTTATCAGAGGGTTATTCCATTAGGTCATTTTAAAATAAGTGATTTTAGGTCCTCATTATTAACTATATTTACCTGTAATAACGTGTCCAGCAGGACTATAATTACAGGGCGAAGAAGAACATGAACACGATAAAGGATTATGCATCAATGCTAAACTTAACTTCCATTTTGTTTTATTTTTTCTACGAGAATACTCACTCCTGAGCGTTCTGATGATAGCTACTAACACCGGAAATGACATAGCTCTCGGGGGCGTAGATAAATTCCTGGTCAAAATTGTTCACGTAATCTGACCACAGGCACTCGCCAAAATAATGTTCTAAAGCAGAAAAGCAACAAATATAACAGACATAAGTGAAATTACATTGCATTGTATATTCAGAATTAATTTCTACTTTTCACTTCTGGGTTTTTCTTTTGACTGATAGACAGGTCCAATAAATTTTACTTAAAAGAAGTTTTAATAATGCGTCTTTTTCTCATTTACTGCTTTGAAATATATTTTCTTTGTAAAATATCTTAATATGATGATAATTTGATTGGTTATTTTTGAAAAAAAAATGTAAGCATATGCTTCTTTGTAATTCAAAACTCATTTACTCAAGCAATAGACCACTGAATAGTGGATGCTATTCCTCGATTTTATCAAGCAATATATAAAAATTGATATTTTCCTGTTTACCTGTCTTTTTCTGTTTAATTAGTGATAATTCGTCTTTCAGCTGCGTTAACGATAGGTGTAATTCCTTGTTTTTCTCTTGCAGGAGCGGAAACTCTTCATCATGTTTATTGACTTTCTGCTTAAGAAAAACTAACTGTTCGTCCCGTACCCTTGCTTCTCGATGGAGATCTATTAAATTGTCAGCAGATTTATGGATGATCGTGATAAATCCAAATTAAATCCATAAAGTTAATCATTTCAATATTGAACTGACTAACGTTGAACAAGTTTGGCACATATATCGTATATAGGAATTATGCTTGAGTAAAGAAAAATTCCAGTTTTTCACTGACTCAATTTTTGACCGATAGATAAATCCAATCAATTTATTATTTACTTTAAAATACAAAATCTGTATACTCAATTTTAAAAATCGTTGTGTTTTTTACAGTGTAAGTATTTGCACCATCCTGATCAACAATTCATTTACCATCCAATATTCCTTTTATATGACAGATGTTATTTCTCGAGTTTATAAAGGCAATATTATTTAAAAAATTAAGTGTTTCCGCTTACCTGTGTTGTTCTGTTTGATGAAGTAGAACAATTCTTTGTTCAGTTGCCTTAGCAATTGTTTAAATTCCTTGTTTTCCTCTTCTACAAGTGAAAAATCTTTATCGTATTTGTTGACCTTTTGCTTAAGAAACGCTAACTGTTCGTCACGAATCCTTGCTTCTCGTAGGAAATCCTTTAACGTTGCATCGAAAACGAAAATAGATCCAACGATGATTGCAACAATTACACCTGTTATACATTGCTTAAAAATTGTCATTCCTATATTTTTTTCACTCATGTCAAGTATAAATTTCGGGTATTTTAGGGTCTATGGTTGTATTATTTTCTTTATCTTGCAAAGTACACACGTCAGTTAATTGAAATCACAGACAATAAAAAGTATGAAAGGCTGGTCAGGTTAATAACGATTAAAATATGACAAGTAAACAAAGTTAAATATTATCTTTTTGTTTAGCACAAACATTAGAATTTTAATTCATCATGTCAACATCCAAGTCATTCTAATGGTATTCGATATAAGCTTGTGGTTATACCATAAGTGTCTGTTAGCTAATATCTACAAGTAACTGTACTAGCCAATACTAGTACCGGGATTCCATACCTGTTCTTGTATATAAAGACAGAATGTCAGAGCAATATTCTCCGAATTCTCGAATTGTTCAACGTAGACTCAACTAATTAAATAGGATCTACATTCATGTAAATGGTGATTTTTCCAGATTGTATTTGAATGAAAAAATACGAAAAGAAAGCGAAAAAAATTTACTGTATGGAAGTCCGTAATCGTTAAACTTTAATTATTCCTATGCTTTACGAGGTTCGCTCCTCAGCTTTGCAGCAGATATTTATCTTGACCTCTATTTAAAAAATTCTACGTATTAATGTTTTAGTTCATTCAATAAATTTGGATTCTATAAATGTATAATGCTAATTAAACTATATTCAATTAAAACCCAAAGATTAAATTTCATACCAAAAAAAATAAATAAATAATGAGGAATAATATTTTGTGGTGGAAGTTTTTCTTTAGAGGAAAAAGATCAATTCTTTTTAAAATTCCTTTTTTTTAACATGCAGCATGCATGTTGTGTTGTGAAATGTTCAATGCTAGTCCAAATTTTTTTATTAAAAAATTAACTTTCATGAATTAATTCTATCAACATTTTTGGCAAATAATATAAAAAATGTCGTGATATTTTTTGAAAAAAAAAATAGCACAATTTAAGCTTCAAATTAGAACTATTGTAGTATCTAACAATTGACATCACATACCCCCATTTTTTAAATT